ACGAGACTCGAAGCAACCGCGCCAACGTATTTAAGCAAGGATAAATCCCTTTGTCCTGTTGGACCCTGCAACACAACAAGACACGGATGTAAGATGACGAGTCACCAAAAATTTTCCGTGTGAATAAATGATTATGAATCGTCTGGTAGACGACCCCTCTATGAGCCACCTAAGCTCTGTGCTGCGCATGTTCGGGTTTCATTTTCCAGACGATGGTCAGGATCATGCTTAGTGGAGTGCAGACACAATAAATAGAAATAGACTTTGCGGCAAACTGCGTGCATATATTTTGAAACTCCTCTGTTTTATAAGGTACTTGGGGAAACCGGTGGAATGTGTTTTTCCCGACAAAGATTCTTTAATTCATCGAAAATATACCCAATGTTTTAACTTAAACTCCTAAAATTATATAGTTGACCCAATTGTGAAAAAATCGCGGCATTCGGCGGGATTCGAACCCGCATAGAAGGTAAGGCCTTCTGATTAATAATTAAAAATCTTCGGTTAAAAGTAAATATACATTTGGGGAAAGGTAAGGTTTGTGAGAAATAATAATATTTTTCAGAACAGTGCAAATAGAGGAAGAGGTAAATTTTGAAAACTGAATATACGCATTTGTTATAAGTAAACAAACTGCTCCAGGCAAATGTTTTGGTGAATACAAAAAGAAGATAGGCAGAATAACTATTAAGAATAGCCTTTTTCATAGATTTTGCATTGAAATGTCTTTTATAAATCATTTCATTAGTAAGTTTGGCAGTATATTATGACATTCCGATATAATGTTCCAATGTTGTATTCACCGGGGTGTGCTCAACAAAGAAAAGGAGGATTTCATGTGATGTAGAATAAAAACGCCACATGAATAACAGTTGCCAAATGCCAGCACTATTTTAATCGTTTAAAAGGCTATAATTTAAAAACTAGAGTATCTACCCATTGATGAGCTGAATTTCTCGCAGTTGTGCCATACAGCTACAGAATATTGCCAAAGCACGTGTCAGGGCATGCAGCTAGTGGCTGTGCTACCAGCATTGCAAAGTAAAACTGATTTTTACCATTGCATTTAGAGTGAAAGCACTTTACTTTCTTCAAATTTGCTTCTCTATATTTATTTAATCCTCATTTATATTTATACCTGCCTTACAACCCAAAAGAAAAGGTTTTTATTATATTCCTGTGTGCGTTTTGATGATAAATAGAGTAATCACTTTTCAGTTGTCTTTGAGGTTTCACTGGTTAAGGTACGGTTTTAGAGTGCTCTAAATCGGTTGGCCAAAACGTACGTTGTGTATTTAGGTTTATTAAAACGTTCAAAATAATATCATTTTTGGATACATTTGTCTAAGTAGTGGGACTGCATGATCTTTCTACGGAAATATCGATTTATCTCATACATGTAGGCGAAGCCAAATAACAAACCTATCCGCAAATGAAACGGACTTCCCCGACGAAGGCCTGAATAAATATCCATACCTAGCATGTTACGTTTTTCAACGTGCTCTACTAGGGTATTTTACTGATGACTGTCCGCGTTTTCCTTTCTTCCAATGAAATATTGGAAACATTTGCCCGCTTATTCGCTTCATAAAAAATGCTGACACTTCCTGCCACAGATGCTAATTTACGTACCGCTTTTTTACTGGCACGTTTCATTTTACGAGTACCAATTTAAATAATGAAATGTCTCCCAAATGGCTAAAACTGAGCATTTTCTGATAATAGAATTCTAATTATTAGACTGCAAACCGTTCAAATGTATCGTATTGTATTCCAACACTTAAATGACTGCTAGATGGTGAACTCTTTTGCGCTTACCTGTGGACTAACAATACAGCACTGGAAAATAAAGTCGCATAGATTTGCAAATCAGCATGTTTTTCAAAAACGTTTGGTTTTTGGAAGGCAACAGGCCAACCTGCATCCAAAATCCTCTGACTTATGTAGAATGAAAAAAATCCAATTTCATTTAGCCGAATGTTATGATGGTAAAGCTCAAGTGAATATTGACGTCCTCTATTGATTGAGTCCATGCTGATGCACAAATGCGGTTAAGGAAGCTGATTATCTTGGCTACTTGACCGAATGTGCGGAAGCTTTAAGTTCAGCCCAAGTTTGAAAAGTTTTACGCCACAAAACTACCTGGAAATATATTCGGTTCAATACTAAGAATTTATTCCGGCAACCACTAGGACACAATTTAGAAGCAGCAATGAACGTGGCACCCAAAAATTATCATGCATATTTATGCTATTATTCTTAATACGTTACGTCAATTATCGCGTATTTTCCTGGTCACTGTAATAGAACTTTCTTACTTCTATTTAAAATGGCATATTTCAGAGTGAGACATTTTCATCCTTTAAATGCGATTTAAAAAAAGCTGCTATAAAAATGGACGCGTTCTCTTATCCAGGTGTTTCATAATCCAGCTGACCACGTAACGCAACTATTCAAAAGATATTTAAATGTTAGATGTACGTTCATATATTTATTTTACGATAAGTAGAGAAATAAGACTTTTGTCAGAAGGCAAATTAGACAGGGTTAACCGAACATTATGAGTATGCCAATAGGCGGAACTTCTTCCTAAACATCCGGGAGCTACTGCAATTTCAGTATCAGACATGCAACTCTTTAATTATTAGCTGTCAAGACGCATTGTGCATTGACTGGCGGAGATTAAGATACTGAGAACGTTCATCTGTAGTTTATATGCTGCAATCAACCAGCTATGCTAAACCACTAAGTATAGACACGACAGTGCAATTCAGGCATTTGTACATTAAGCATCCAGCCAGTCTGTTTAATTCAACCACTTACGCACGCACTAGGCCTGATTTTGTTCATAGGTCTTACTGGGCATGTACTTCATGGTTAATGTTGTATATAAAGACGGTTCCGGGGCAATAGATTACTCCTACTTTCGGGCAAGGTATGTTTACCCAGAGGGGAATAAAGTCCAGCAAAACGCAGCTTAACAATCAAAATATACGGCATAGAATGAGCACATGAGGTTTGGGACCTATGATGATGGTGAATAAGCTTCCCGCTCTAGTCCTCATTAATCTTGTTGATAATGTCGCGGTAGAATTGATTGGTCATTGTCATGCAACCGTCTGCCTGGACTCTGGACCGGAACTTCTTAGCAGAACGAAACGCCGTACACCATCCGGCAGGCAGACTACATATATTACAATGTGCCACCTCCATTTGACAGGGGAGTAATGCCTACAAAGAGAAAAGGAGACGAGTGAGGAGATATTGGCAGCAGCAGCATAGATTGATGTACTAACAAAAAGCACAAGTATAAATTTAGCTAGAGGTTACTCTCGAAATCGACAGCTTTGTCAGAATAGATTGTCCGTTGAGTTCAATCACTTGAACAAACGAGTCACCTTTCGAAGTATATTTTTACTGTGTTTTTTGTACTTTAAAGCGATTTAAAAGCTTTTAGTTGATTTAACTCGAATCTTACAGTGAGGGGTTCGCTAACTGCGTAAAAGTAATGAAGTCTGATAGAATCATTTAAAAACATGGTTAAGTCTTGAAGACGCCGTGCCGTCTAGTTCCGTCACTCCGTCTTTTGTGGTTTATGCCTCCAATTGCATTCAAATTTCCATAGTTTTTCGAAAAATACCTAAGGGGTCTGTTCACTGTCTACTCCTTTTGCTCTCGTCCCAACTACGGACTCGTGTTAATTGGCATCGCCAGTGAATCGAAGTACTTTTGCCTATTTTCAGCTGTACAGACGCATAGCTTTGTTACTATGTTCCCGCTGAACAGCTCAAAGGCGTTCTGCGTATCTTTTCCATAAAAAACTGAACCAAACTGAACTGAGCAAGTTCTGTGCCCGACATGCTTATTTCTCTATGAGATGACCTGTGTCAAGAATAAATAGCCCATCGCAATATCTGTAGTAATATTTGGTAAGAGTTATTGAGGTCATAAAATTTTATGACCTCTCAATCAGCTGCAAACGGTCGTTGCCTCTTAATAACATAAATTAACTGTCCAATTCAATGTCAGCCTCGAAGGGTAAAACTTAATAGGTAAAGCGAGTAGAAACAATTAGTTGTAGATGTGTGCGCATGGTGAGGGAGTAGAGGAGGGGGAGGTAGTTGTCACAGCATGGCAGTTCAGGTTAGTTCATGTTCATGAACGCCTGTGGGACGTGGTTAAATGGGGGGGTGGGGTAGCAGTCAGTCGTAAGGTGGACTAGCATAATTAATTGTCTTATTAATAGGCAACGAGCGTCTGCAGTCGAATATTTGGTAAATTGAAATGTTCAGTTGTTATCGCTGTATTATTCAGATGTATGTGCTTGAATAAAAGAGTCCTAAGCCCCGTCCTAGTCTTTTGGTCAACAGCGTCATATATTAACTCCTATGTTATTTTTTTGTACTGTCTGAACATTGTCACCCATGCACTTCCGTTTATATACATTTTATCTGTTTCCGTTAACCGCTAACTGTCCAAACCCGTGTAAAATGTGTTCGCAGCTCGATCGCTTTATCCTTTCTTTTTGAATAAATCGACTGCCTGCGGGTTTTTCGGAAAAATATTATCAGGTTAAAATTGCATGCGTCTATCCTGGTTATACGGTTTTTTCAGGTAAACTAACATACCACAAAGCCCATATTACTTCGCCGTGTAAGGCCGATTTTTACGCGCTAGTCTTCGCCAACACCGTCATTGGCCTCAGCCAACCACGTGAAGACACGGACTATCTGCCCACTGGTTGGCTCAGACGCGTACGCCGACGGCCTATGATTCAGCTAATCATTGGCTTGGTCACACCAGTAAATTTACAACTCAGTCAGACACACAGAACGAATTTGCATGCATGCTGCGTTTCGGATTGAGCAACGGGCCGCTTCATGGGACCTGTCGTCTACCTGGACGGCTCGATATATCGACACAGTTTTAGCACTAGTTCTTCTGGCATAGCTGTTCCCCGTCTCTTCCAACGTGTATAGAGATCTGACCGGTCAAAAACAATGACGGAAGACATTGCGACTCTAAAATCTGACCGGAGCGTCGGACTTACACCTGATGAGATCTGGCTGCAAGACAGCGAGGCTCGTCTGGACTCCATGGAAATGTTACTCAAATCCGTCAAAAGAGACATTGATGCATTAAGTGAAAAGTTACCCTCGCCTCGTATGCCTCGTGTCCAGAACGAAAACCGGTCGGATTTTTCTAACGACAACTTTGTTCACGAGACTGGTTGTAAAAACTATGTCCTATCAAGCAATCCCGTCAACAGCCCACAGTTTTCGCCCCTTTTCCCCCCAGTACTGCCTTCCAGCGAGGAAGTGGAGGTTGTACATGTGGAACACCATCGAATGTTCTACAATTTGGGCCTCGGTTCGCACACCATTGCTGAACCTCTAACAGGAATGTTGGAGGAGACCGGGCCAGAAGTCTGCGAGGCCACCAAACCAACCTCTTGCGCGGATTTACACGCCCTCGTTGAGGAATCCGAGGAAGAGAAGATAAAACCCTGGCGGTCTCCAGCCGATTTTCGGACAGCAGTTTCTGCAAACGAATACTCCCCTCCCACTTCGCCAACTTTCGGTGAATCGAATGATATTGTCGCACTCAAAAATATCCTCTTGCATAGTGAAAATGTCGAGGCCTATGGTGGACTACCTGAGGGCACTGACGCCAAACATATGAGCGTCTACGGCAGTTCGCATACTCTGCCAACCATTGAGGAAAACTCTGAGGAAGATCGGGCAATGACCGATAGCGAAAATGCGGATTCCTCCCTTTCGGCAGAAGTCGGCTCGCCACCCGATGGGCAGCCGCCGCCTACAGACAGCCAAAATTTCAAATCAGTGGATGACACGGGGAAAGATCGATCGACCCTGCCACCGCCGGGTTTGGCCGCGCCGCGGTTCTATGAGTCAGTTAGGAAGTGTGCCAATGTGGAGGATAGTGGAAGATCTCACTCGCCTAGACAACAGACCATGGAAAAAATGAACGTTTGCAGGGATCCCGCAGACAACCTGGAGGCCCGACGCAGTTTAGAACGACCACGATCCGGCAGCCCCTTCCTCACGCGACCGAAGGCTATGACTGAACCTCAAAGCGTATCTGCGGTGCCCTCGCTTACTTCCCTCAGGAGTCGCGACAGCATGATAATAAGCGACGCGGAATCCTACGTGACTGTGCGGAGCAATGTCTACCCCTCTAGCAGTTGTGAGGAGGCTTACGTCACCGCGACTAGCGACCTTGACGGTGTGGGGAGAGTCTCCGAGGACGAGGATGTACGTACCTTCCAAGGCCACACTTCTTATCTGGGAGGTGGACAAGATTGGAGGCGAGTAATGGCGAAGGAGAAGCCATCAAAGCTGTTGGTATTGCAACAGACATCCAATAGCGACTCCCATCAGCAATCGGATGACGTATTGGAATTTACTTTAGTGGAAGCCGAATGTGATAACTCCGGGCCGGCAAGGAATTCCAGTCAACCGCCAGCAGAAAACAGCGGATTTTCTGACCCGGGAACTCCAAAACACAGTGAGTAACATTTTGATGACCCGTTGATTTTCTCGAAGAAATTTCCTTTCTTGAGATTTTCAAACCTGCTGGGAAATAAATGTGTTTTCTTTTAAGGTTAGTTGATGGAAAATTAAGCATTCAAAAGACGTTGACGTGATAACATTAGTACTACCTCCGCGCAATCCGCTTGACTTTCCTTTAAGAAATATGAAAGGCGGTGGATTTAGCACCAAATCTCTTGCCAAGGATTAGGATAGCGACCTCTTTATCCAATACTCTGGGTTCATTTGTTGCATTGAACCAAAGAATGCTGTGACTTCACATGGGGTAGCTAAGGCTTGCCGAGTCCTATTCATCCGGAAATTTACACGAAAAACAGCAAATATCTTCGTTAGGCGGAAGTACTTCGATTGGCAGCTTTTATAATCGCTTTCCGTAGAAATATCGCGCTAATTAATAATAGTTCTTCCACCAATCAGTCGCAACCTACTAAGCAAAGTGTGATCGCGTGCGTATAGTCCTCAAATAAAGGCTATGCAGAGTGTTTATCACCTTGACTGGCAAGCAACGATAGAAATGTTGGCTTCCTAATATGCTTTTAGCCGGCGAATGTAGACACGCAATAATGCTCAATGGTTTTGAGCAGAGCATTACCTCCATCAGAAATTGCTCCAATTTCTATTTCCCAGGAAAATTATCGCTCTTTTGTCCTCTGAGATAATATTTACCCTCTTCAACTTCTGGTTCTTTTGTGGCCGAACGAACTTCACAATTTCGCTTATTATCACTGATTACTCAGTAAACATAAAAATGGAAAGGGCGAAAATGTATGTTTCCCGTTTCTGAGGGCTTGCTGCATTAGTATATGACCGCAGCCCACTACTTTAAGCCAAACAGTCAACACCTTATGTCGCCAATTTTGCAAAACTCTGAATTTTCATCAATAGAGGGCTTTTCATCCACTGAGCTGGTCGTCCGTTGGGTATTTAATTATTCAAACCTCCTTGTTCAAGGCTAGCTCTGTCTGAGCCTTCAATCTCTTTCTCGGAATTATTTAACCCTCTTAAATTAGAAACCGTTATCGCATCGTCACACGCTTGTGCTGATTTTATTTCGCGATACGGCCAGCAGTAGTGGTATCGGTGAAAATCTTGGTGGACGCTGACGCACACTGCGTTACGTCCTGTGAATGATAGCAAAATCAGGGTATGTGGGTAGATATAAATGAGTCTGTTGGGCTTGTCTGAACACTGTCCTCCTGGCTCAGTTTTGTTAATACTATAAAAACACACACAGAAAACCTGT